AGGGAAGGGAAGGGAAGGGAAGGGAAGGGAAGGGAAGGGAAGGGAAGGGAGAAAACAAGTGTTATACAACCTCTCTCTATGAACAGTTAAAATTTGCCTTAAAGTCCTAAACTCTAGATGTTTAGAAACACCTGGGTACTTGAACATTTCTCACTTTGCTGGGGGAGGGGAGAATGTAACAGTACAAATAATACCATTTAAAGACATACTGTCAGAATCCTTTGGAAAACAGAGTCTCCAGTAAATTTAGTTCTTTATTTCCCCAATCCAAATAATAAGACCTGACTTACTTGGTCCTGGATGTGCTCACACACCTCCACTGTGCTTTGTGAGAATAAACACTTCACAGAAGCCACAACGGCGACTGTGGTCAGAGAACAAGGTTGCTAATGAAATCAGAGGTACCCAATGCCTTTGAGCAGAGAATACTCATTCTTTGTTTTTGTGAATGACACAGTTTCTTTGAGGAAGGAATCAACCACATAGTTCATCCTTCACTGCCCAATACAGAAGCCAAAGGCCACATGTGTCTTGTTGAAATATAGTTCATCCAAATTGATACATACTAGAAGCATAAAATATACAATTGATTTCAAAGACTTAGTAACAAAAAAATCAAAAAAACAAAAAAAAAAGGTCCCAAAAATATTTCATAACATTGAATTCTGGGCAAAACAAAATATTATTAATAACTAATCTCACCTGTTTCCACTTGCTTCTCTTAAAAATGTGGCTATTCATCTATGCAATCACTGCAACATTTCAGCTTACAATAGGCCTCTACTGGACATTATCTTAGACCACGCAATCATTCTTCTCATCTTTCCACCACCCACAATAATATTTTTCCATGGTAGCTTTTAGAGCTCCCTGAATACTCAATGCATAATCTTCTCAGGATTTATTTCTGATTCCCTGTTTCCTCAGAGCAGCAGAGGAGGTCATTACATAATCTAGATAGGACCTCTTTCTGTCACATGGGTTGTCTAGCCAGACCAACTACAATAGCAATAAAACAGCCACACCTGCCAGGCAGGAAGGGATTCATGCCCAGGATAAGGGGAGATAAGTTAACAAGTAGGGAAAATAAAAACTCCAACACATTCCAAACCCTACATGAATGCTGATTCATGAATGCACTCAAATTCTTCATAACTTCCCTTATAGAAGTACTTTAGGAATCATAGAATCTTTCTGTAGTCTAACTGGCTAAGTCACCTTCCTAATCCACATCAATTACAACCTTTCTGGTGGCTTGATGATACCGTGTGTGTGTGTGTGTGTGTGTGTGTGTGTGTGTGTGTGTGTGTGCATGCGTGTGTGTTTAACACTGAGCGTCACTTTCAAAGCTCTCTTCATTGACTACAGAGTACACTTCAGGTACATCATGAATTGCACAGTGAGGGTGCCTTTTGACAACCCAACTTTCCTCTTCTCCCCCCTCCCCCATCTCTCTCTTACATGAACACACAGTTAGAGTAAGAAGACTCATCTCAGAAAACCATGAGCTCTATTTGCAGTCTTCTCTGAACACAGAATAGAGAGAGCTTCTCCAAGCTTCACAGCTTTGGTGCGAACCCCACACCCCACTTTTCTTCTAAGACGTGGGTTTTCCTTACCTTGACTTGCTCATTTGAAGTTACAGCACAGAAAACAATCTCTGTGAATCCCTGGGATGGGAACATACGGAAACAGATACCACCAATAACACGGCCATCTTTAATTAAAGCAAGGGTTTTGTGTTTCCTGAAAGGATAAAATTATGTCAAAGTCTTACCAATCTTGGTTTTATAGGATGCTCTGGGTGGTCACTAACTAACCAAAGGTGGGGGGGAGATATGTCTTGAATTTCTGTGGGAACTTCCTTCATTCTAGCCACTATACTTTTACCTAGGACTTGACAACAAAAGACATCATCAGAGCACCCACAGAACAAAATTGAATGTCCTCTAATAAGTGTCCAATGTCTAAAAGTAGCAAGAAAGTTATGTGTGGAGGTGTTTTGGAACTGACATACCCTATGCCCAGGGAATCATGGTGGGAATCAAGAAGAGTGCTTAAAGTCATGACAAACGTGATACACATTTCTGCAGTTAATTCTTTTTCTTTCTTTTTTTTTTTTTTTGAGTCCGGTCATGGAGCCTGAACTCTGGGCCTGGGTACTGTCCCTCAGCTCTTCAGCTCAAGGCTAGCGCTCTACCACTTGAGCCACAGCGTCACTTCTGGCTTTTTTCTTTTTGCTTATATGGCGCTGAGGAATCAAACCAAGGGCCTCATGCATGCAAGGCAAGCGCTCTACCACTGAGCCACCTTCCCAGCCCCTCTGTAGTTAATTCTTACTCAAAAACATTACAGATCAGGCACCACAGTAGTTAATCCAAGAATGAGTGGATTACCAAAAAGCTAATATAGCTTCTAAGCGTGTATACTGCTAAATGAATGGAGTACAGGACAGCCAAATAGTAACTTAAAATACAGAGCATGTTAACAAGAACATTTTAAGCTGGGCACCAGAGGCTCATGCCTATAATCCTACCTACTCAGGAGACTGAGATCTGAGGATCACAGTTCAAACCAGCCTAGATAGAAAACTCCAGGAGACTCTGATCTCCAATTAACTACCAATAAAGAGGCCAGAAGTGCAGCTGTGGCTCAAGTGGGAGCGCACCAGCCCTGAGGACAGTACCCAAGCTTTGGGATCAAGGGGGCAGGGAAAAAGAGAAGGAAGAGCTTACGGGTCAAAGACAAGCCGTGTGATGTACTCTTTTGGCATTCGGGGCAGCTGATGGGAGAAGACATTCTGTAGACCAACCAGCCACATCAGAATCTTCTTGTTTGGTTTCTGGTTCAGGGAATTGCCAACCACGTGGAATTCAATGACACCCCTGCGCTCTTCCAGCCTCGCTGCCTCGTCCCTGGCTGAGTGTGCCGACAGAAAATTGGTCTAGGATGCAGGAGACAGGAAAAGGTCACACACAGCTACTCTGTGAAGGCAATGGCACATCAAAGCTTCTCTTCTTTGTTCTAGTCAGGTACACGTTTGCGGATTTCCAGGGCACAAATACACACACATGCATGCAGACACACATGCATGAACACGCACACACATTCCTCAAGTCATGAAGACAAAATAGAAAAGATAAGTAAAGCAGTGGGAGAAATCTGAGGACCACCAAGGTGCCAGATAAGCTATCAGCCAATTTTTCCATCATGTGCCTGAGAAAAAACATCTTAGACTGTTTGAGCCTTAAGATCTCTGTCTTCACTTCTCAACTGTTACTACAGTACAAAGGCAGATACAGATGCTCTGTTAAGGAACAGATGTACTAAAAGAATAGGTGTATTAGTACTCCAGTTAAGACTTTAGCTAGAACACAAAACAGAGTAAATCACATTTGGCCTATGGGCCATAATTTGCCAGTCCCTTGTTTAAAAACATAATAATAATAATCTCATTTACTTCAGCTTTAAAAGACCCATTGTGATGACAGATCCCAAATTCTCATAAAAGACCAAAACACAGTGGTCACATTCCTATTTTAGCACCTCTTTTCAGAGAACAGTTTTCTTTGCTAAGGAGTATCTGTTGACCCTCACTAAACCACAGCAGACATTACAGCAAGGGCCGGTACTCTGTGTTCCTCGTCTTATTTAATCCATCAGTGCAGTGCAGGGAAATAAATGTTCCGCAAACAGCTCTTCAGGGAGGAAAAGTCCTAACTGGTAGCACTTTGCTGCTTTCATTGGTCTACAGTAGCTGGATGTCCATGTGACCAGGCACCACTGTGATCAATTTCAAGCCACCAAGCTATTTAACAACCAGCTTAGAAAACTCCTAAAATTTAACTGCTTGCTTCCATGTGCCAGTACCAGTCAGTTCCACACACTACGAAATCCATCTAACAAATTTCAACCATGATTGCAGTCCACTTTAGAACTTAAAACACTAAGATCAGTGAAAATATTCAATCCTTAAAAGACTAAGAGAAGAAGCGGGGCACCAGTGGCTCACGCCTATAATCCTAGCTACTCAGGACGCAGAGCCTGGGCAGGAAAGTCTGTGAGACCCTTATTTCCAATTAACCACCAGAAAACCAGAAGTGGTGCTGTAGCTCAAGTGGTAAAGTGCTGTAGCCTCTATAGCTCAGGGACAGTGCCCAGGCCCAGAGGTCAAGGCAGACAACCGACAAAAAAAAAGACTCAGAGAAGAGAAGAACCAGTGTTTGAAGTCCTCACAGACCAAACATCACAATGGGAAAGAATAATCGTATGATGAGATCTATTATTATTATTTTGAGGGAGCAGCACTGGGGTGTTAAACTCGGGGTATTATGCTCTCCCTGGCACTCTGCCACTTGAGTCACAACTCCACTTCTGGCTTTTTGGCGAATAATTTGAGATACAAGTCTCACAGAATTTTCTGCCAGGGCTGGCTCTGAACCACAATCCTCAAATCTCAGCCTCCTGAGCAGCTAGGATTACAGGCGTAAGGCATCAGTGCCTAGCTTTATTATTATTATTTTGTGGTGCCAGGGATTAAACCCAGGGCCTCACGTAGGTTAGGCTTTAACCCTAGTCCATGAGGAGATATTTCTACTAAAACAGTCCAGTTCTCTGAATTAATCTCAATATCACAGAATACCTAAAAAAAAAAGTGGCAAAGCAAAACTTAATCTTTTTTTATTGAATAGAGCTATAGTAAGCAGATATAAAAATTGTTGATAAAATAATATCCAGGCCATTTCTCCTATGGCTTAAGCCACTCTGCAATGGGTATCACGTAACAAGATAGCAGCAGTACTTTTACTAAAAGTGTTTGAATCTAATAACCAGTAAGCAAAGGCAAATTCAAATAGACAGCAAAAGTGGTGACCAAGAATCAACAACAACATATCAAAAGGCCAAGAAAAAGCTGGAAAATTACTGCTTTAAAGTAAAGAGACTTAGCAGACGTGTGTTTTCCGTGGGTTCAACCCACGGAAGCCCACAAAAAGAGAGACACTAAAAGCATGAAGAAATCAAAGTTAGATGCAATGCTTTGTTCCCTAGTTGATCCTTCAACAGCAGCAATAATTGTGACAAAGGACACCATTTAGACAGATGGGGAATTTGGATATGGGATGTATATTACACCAGGGTCAGCAAACGTTTCAACACAAGGTAGGAGGGGTGTATTCTATGCTTTTGAGATGCATATATTTGGCAGATCCCAGTTACTCAAACCTGCTACTACATGCAAAGACAGCCACACATAGTAGCCTCCTGCTGCTCTGGAGGCTGACATGGGAGAGTCACTTGAGCCACAAATTTGAGTCCATGCACTGGTGGCTCACACCTGTAATCCTAGTTACTCAGGAGGCAGAGACCTAACCATCGAGACACAAAGCCAATGGGAGAAGGAAAGTCCAGGTGATTCTTATCTCTAACTGCAAAAACCAGATATGGAGCTGTGATTCAGTTGGTAAAATGCTGGCCTTGAACAAAAGGAAGGAAGGAAG